TCAAAACAGCCTGGTACTGGCATAAAAACAGGCACATAGACCAATGGAACAGAACACAGAGCCCAGAAATAAACCCAAGTCTCTATGGTGAATTAATATTCAACAAAGGGGCAGCAACATAAAATGGAGTAAAAATACCCTCTTCAACAAATGGTGTTGGGAGAACTGGACAGCTGCATGCAAAAAAAATAAAACTCGAGCACCAATTTACACCATACACCAAAATAAATTCAAGGTGGATAAAAGATTTAAATATAAGTTGTGACACCACTGAAGTCCTAGAGGAGAACTTAGGCAGGAAAATCTCAGATATTTCATGCAGCAACATTATCACTGATATGTCCCCTAAAGCAAGGGATATAAAGGAAAGAATAAACAAATGCGATCTCATCAAGATAAAAAGTTTCTGCATGGCTAAAGAAAAGAGTATTAAAATAAAAAGAGAACCAATTGTATGGGAAAACATATTTGCCAGTGATACTGTGGACAAGGTTTTGATCTCCAAAATATATAGAGAACTCACATAATTCCAATCTAAGAAGACAAGCAACCCAGTTAATAAATGGGCAAAGGACTTGAACAGACACTTCTCCAAGGAGGACATACAGAGGATCCAGAGACACATGAGAAGATGCTCACTATTGCTAGTTATCAGAAAGATGCAAATTACATCCACAACGAGTTACCACTTCATACTGGTCAGAATGGCCATCATAAACAAAGCAACAAATAAGTGTTGGAGAGGTTCTAGAGAAGAGGGAGCCCAAGTACACTGTTGGTGGGATTGCAGACTGGTACAACCACTATGGAAAACAGTATGGAATTTTCTCAGAAAACTAAAAATGGACCTGCATTTTGATCCAGCAATTCCACTGCTAGGATTATATCCTAAGAACCCTGAAACACCCACCCAAAAGAATGATTTACAATAGCTGAGTGCTGGAAGCAACCTAGGTGCCCATCAGTAAATTAATGGGTCAAACAACTATTATACATTTACACAATGGAATTCTATGCAGCAGAAAGAAAGAAGGAGCTCCTACCCTTTGCAACAGCATGGATGGAACTAGAGAGCATTATGCTAAGTAAAATAAGCCAGGCAATGACAGACAAATACCATATGATCTCACCTTTAACAGGAACCTAATCAACAAAACAAACAAATGAAATATAACCAAAGACACTGAAATAAAGAACAGGGGGAGAGGGACTAGACGGGAGAGGGGAGGAAAAGGGGAAGGGTTTGCAGAACAAGTATAAAGGACGCATGGAGAACAACAAGGGGGCAGTGGGGGTGGAAAATGGAGGGAGGTAGAGTGGGCTGGGGGTGGGCTGGGATGGGAATAAAAGGCAGAAAACTGTACTTGAACAACAATTAAAATAAAATAATAAAAAAAGAAAAATAAAAAATAAATCAACTGAAATAATACAAAAAAAAGAAAGAAAAAATAGTGAAAGAAAACTTCCATAATTTGGTGAAAAAAAATAAAACATGCAAGTCCATGAAGCACAGAGTCTCCCAAACAAGATGGACACAAAGAGCCTCACTCCAAGACATATCACAATTAAAATGCCAAAAGTTAAATATAAAGAGAGCATGTTAAAAGTATCAAGAGAAAAGAAATTAATTACCTCCAGGGGAGTTCCCCTAAGATTGTCACCTGATTTTTCAAAAGAAACTTTGCAGGCTAGAAGGTATTGGTAACAAATATTCAAAGTCATGAAAAGCAGGGACCTATAGCCAAGATTGCTCTACCCAGCAAAACTATCATTTACAATCGAAGGGCAGATAAAGAGCTTCCCAGATAAGAAAAAACTAAAGTAGTTCATTATCACCAAGACCTTATTATATGAAATGTTAAAAGGACTTATTTAAGAAAAATAAAAAGATCAAAACTATGAACAATAAAATGGCAAAATACATATTTACCAACAAGTCAATCTAAAAAAAAATTAAGCAAAGTAGAAGAACAGAGGCAAAATCATTGATATGGAAAGTGTTTTGATGGTTGCCAGATTGGAGGAGGATGTGGGAGAATTGGTGAAGAGGTGAGAGGATTAAGAAGTGCAAATAGGTAGTTAAAGAACAGCCAGGGGATATAAAGTATAGGAAATGGAGTAGACAAAGAACTTATACAAATGACCCATGGACATGAAGAATGGTGGAAGGATTGCCCAAAAGAGCAGAGATGGATGGATGGAGTAGGGCAAAGGGGGAAATCAGGACAACTGTAATAGCATAATGAATAAAATATAATTTTTAAAAAAACTTTAAGAAGCAACATAATCAGATCTGATTTGCAAAACCTCTCTTTAACTAACAGCAGCATAGTCACAGGACTAAAAGGAACGTTAAAGACAGTTCAGAGGCTGCTATAGTGACTTAACCAAGAAATTATGAGCTTGAACAAAAAGTGGCAGCAAATGAAATAGAAAAGAGTAGTCAGATTCAAGGGGTATTTAAGAGGTAAAAATTAATACACCATTGATCACCTGGATAGAGTAGTGTGCTGCCTTAAAAAAAAGAAAAAGAACCCTGATTTGTGGCATCTGCTAATTTCCATGGTGTCAAGAATGCCATAACAGCTATTTCAAACTCCCAACATAATGTCATTGAATTTAAAACAGGGAAGAAATGTGCACAATAGTTTCCACAAGCTATTGTGAGTCAGCTCCAGCACTCAAGGCCTTCCAGGGCCCCGGCAGGAAGTTAACTGCAGTTACTGTGTTCTGTTTGGTACACATGAAATTAGAAACCTACACCTTTCATTATAAAGACATCCAGCAGGCAGTTGAGTCAATGGTTTTTGAACACTGCAGAGAAATATCTGGCTGGACATTAGAGTTGGTATGGAAGTCACAAGAAACTATGCAGACCCAAAAGATAAGAGAGTAAAACAAAGAACTCTAGAAAATACTAATATTAAAGGCAAGAATGGAAAAAGGTTGATTAACATATCTGAGCAAGACCTTAAAGGAAAGGAATTCTTGGGACAAATTCCCAAACAATCAATTCTCTAGTTATCAATTCACCAAAGAATTAACTCATTAAAGTTATCTCATTTATCTGAGAACTTACTTCTTTAACTATTTATAAAGCAATTTACCTGTCTGAAGATAAGAAGCCAAAAGAGGAGGAACAGTTAAATGGCAGCAAGCCCCATGAGCAACCAAGAGCTAACAAAAGCAAAAGGTCTTCAGGCAACCTCACCACACACCATCCACACACTTCTTAGAATGGTGGTGGTGTGAAGGAAAGATTCCCATGGATGACTGAATGGGAAGAGAAAAGGTAGAGAAGCTTTCACTGAGCAGGAGTAGAGAGAAACACCGCAGGGAGAGGGTATTGATTATGTTTCTGTGTTTTACCTGTGAGACTCCATTTGGTTTACATGCTAACATTAAAGGAGAAATTGAAACTGAACAGAAGGGCCAGAGGAACTGATACCTTGTGCTCCAGAAGAAAAAGGAGTTATGGAAATCTGCAGTAGAGGCGAAAGGGAAAGATATGTGCTTCCCTAACTACTTCTAGAGTAATCCTTCTGTTAGGCCAGACAGTTGTTGAATTTTCTTTTACCACGATGACCAAAGTATGTGTCATCTTAGAGGCTCTACTGCAATTCCATGTAAATCTAGTTAGAAACCTTTCAGAATGTTGTTAAGTCTGTACCCAGAATTCACTGGAAGCAAAACCAAACCCGGAAGTATGCCAATCTGGAAACTTGTTTTCACAGCACTATCACTAAGTGAAAACATTTTTTTTGATTCTCATTTTTCATTGTCCCTAACCCTCATTCCCACTGTTACCTTCCTTCCCTTGCAATATTCTACCCCTCTTCCAATGGCTTCCCACTTCACTAGGCCAAGAAAAAAATATTTTGTTTTTACCCAATACATTGAAAACTTCACAAGTATTTAAAGCCTACAATGGTTTATTCCTATTCTTGGAAACACTGATTTTTTCAAATAAATGCACCTAATTTTCTCAATGGTTTGCTTAATTAGAGATCACCAATATTATATCAGCATGTCAAAATTGCTACTTAACCATTATTGAGGAGCTGTCAGTTCTTCTTATCATGAACTTACTGTCTTAAATATGTTAAATTAGTTTCTAGTCAACTCAGGGTCTTCTCTAAATTAGAGTTTAGCAATCTGCCAAGAGTCAGGCATTGACTCACAGAGGACTCCAGCACTGTAATATAACATCCTGGTTACAACATCATTATTTAACACACTCTTCCTGCTATTCTTTTCTATGGGAATCCAAATGAAAAGGTTTATGTCCACTGTACTGCATAAGTTTTATCTCATCTTTTTGGCCAAGGGCCAGGGAACAGTGAGATAAGCTGGTACTAAAAAGGAAAAAATACCAGGAGAAATTTCACACACCTGGGACAAAAACATATTTTGCTGTCTTTTAAATTCTCTCTATATATTTTTTAAAAAACCCAAATACTTCTGATCTTCAGAGGATTTATGCACATATCAATTCTTAAAGAAAAATTTCTGACTTTCAGGATAGAAACTACCGATACAGAACACACAATGGCTGATTGGCAAAATGAGGATAGATGCTCTAATAGAAAAGTCTAAAAATATAATAATACAAAAGACAGAAACCCCAAGAAAACCACCAACACTGTACTTGTGGGTCATTTCAGGGGATTCTATTTTCACCTTGAGAATCACATCTAGTTTCTAGACTTAGGCTAGTAACCAACATGGGCCTTCTTTTTTAAAAAAAGCAAGACAAGTCCTGGCTGGCGTAGCGCAGTGGATTGAGCGAGGGCCTGCGAACCAGAGTATCGCGGTTCGATTCCCAGTCAGGGCACATGCCTGGGTTGCAGGCCAGTTCCCAGCAGGGGACACAGGAGAGGCAACCATACATTGATATTTCTCTCCCTCTCTCCTTCCCTTCCCCTCTAAAGATAAATAAATAAAATCTTTTAAATAAAAAAGCGAGACAAAACAAAAACAAACTTAAATTTGTAACCTACCGTCCGTCTGAGATTTACTGAGGAATATTGTGCTGGCCCGAGGATGGTCTGAAGGATTGAATTCCATGTTCAAATCTTTAAAAAAGAAAAAGAAAATACATGAACATCAATCTGATAACTAAGGGAAGCTGAGATTAATTTTCAGTTTTTTAAATTAACCTTAAATTGCTAATACATTCAAATATTACGGTAAAATCCAACAGTTACTGTGTTTATGGAGTCAACTTAGGTTCAATTGAGAGCACTGTTATTTAGAAATTTGAGAAAGTCATACACTAAAATTAAGACACCTGGCTAGAGATCTATTACACTTAAACTCTATTTTCTTTTAAAAGTCTGCTCTGTACCTGGGATACTACAAAATACCAGGACAAAGTTATAACATGCAATTAAAGAGTTCTGTGCTACAACCAACTCATCAAAACTCTAAAGTTAATCAAGTGGTATTTCTTCGTTTAAGGTGCTTTAAAAAATCCCATCCTTAAGCTGCATTAGTACCCCTATGCTCTGCTTCATTAAGATTGTTATTTTCTGAAAAAGCAAAACTTATCCTTTAGAGCACAGGCTGCAAACTGACCATTCATGTGCACAATCTGGGTCATGGATGTGTTTTGTTTGATACATATGTTGTTCTTTTTCCCATTGGAGGCAATGTATAATAATGTTTACACTTAAAACATATGCCACAAAGAAAAAATTCCCTATTTCCAGCTTCTTCTGAGAAGTTAGATCATTTGCCAGTGTGAGCCACAATCTACTGGAATACTGCCAGCCCCTGCAGCTGGGGCCCTGAGGTTCCAGTCCCCAGTCCCCAGTAATCACCTCTCTCGTTTACTTGATACTCATTGGGTGCTGCTCCTTACTTTTGGACATTCCTACCCCTATGGGCATTTGGTTTTATAACTGCTGCCTTAGAACAATTTCCAAGGGCCTCTAGAGGCTTGTCAGTAAGTTATATAACAATTTAGAATTTCATAATAGAAGACTTTCTCCAGTTAAAAAGAAATTATTCCATAAGGGAAAGAATCAGTAAGGAAACAAAAAAAAAAAAATAAGAGAGGGAAGACAGACCAAAATTACTGAAAGGTCAAAATGATCTTAACATCAGCTTCCAGCATCAGAATGAAAACGCAACTATTTTGAGTTCAATTATTTTGTATAGAAACACCCAAGGAAAGGAAAAAACAAGGATGGTCATATATACACCAGAGGCAACACCTAAACACTTATCCACAGAGACTTATCTTCAACAAGCTTTTGCAGTAAGGCAATTTTTCCTACATCAGCCAATGCCTTGCTATACTATAGCTCCTGGCCTCCTACTGGGTGCTTGATTAAAGATACAGCTATTAAATCTTAAATTCGATTTCAATTATCTGGTGCTTTTTCTGTGACAACTATTAAAACTATATATAGTGTAGTACAGTCTCAGAGTTAAAGGCATTGTGTTTTCATGGAAGGAGAAAGATAAGCAAAAAGGAAATTTTTCAAATTTGCCTCAATTTGAACTAGATAAGGGTAGGCCAGAAATTTCCTGATGAAAATGAGTCTATTGAGGTTTCCTGCTCAACAAGGATTTTGTAATAAAAGAATTAAATAATAAATGCACTACTAAGTCATTTTTTTGCAGGGGGAGGACTTGGGCACATAAAAAATGAAAGCATTTATGTGATTTCAACCGTGATGGATGTAGTTAACTTCTAAAAGTCTTAACTCATCATTCTCATAGAAAAGCACCAATGAAACCAATGTGCATGCAGTGCTTCCTGCAGTGGGGCAGGAGGATGGGGAATATCAAGAACTCATTCCATTAGCCTCAGACAGTGTCAGCACCCCAAATTCTTACTTTGTTTCCTTCATACCCAATTCACAATCATCTAATAGATCAATTGCTTTTCTGTGTGTAGCCAAAATAACACAAGAGAGTTATTTCTTTGGGAATTGAGACCTGATTCTAAATTTAAGAAAGTCCTGAGGGATAATCCCTGAATTCCCTGGAGACTAGGATTTTGTCTATACTTTTCACAAGTCCTAGTAATTGCTAAGAATGGGGGACTTTACAAACTCTGAGGGCTTCCAATAAAGAGACATTTGTTATAGTAAGTAGCTATGCCACCATTTAAAAATCATGTGAAAAATGTATTAACATGGAAATAGAAAACATGTCATTAAGTGAAGAAAGCAGCATGCCATCATTCTACGGTAAAAATATGCATAGGCATACAAAATATATTAAAAGAATGTACACTAATGTTTGGTTACTTTTAACAACTGCACTTTTTTTTTTTGCTTTTCTGTGTTTTCTAAGTTTTCTGCATTGAGTATATTTTTATTGGTTTACTTTTTTACCTCTTATAATTTAAAACATTTATTTTTAAAAACAACTTGTAAAAAATGATTTCTGCTCTTATGCTCTAGGTGGCTGGACTGTTATTTCTCTAGCACATGCTGGTGCTCCCAGAAGACACTCCAGAGGTCTCTTGTTGCTGTTGGACTCTCTCCCAGAAGTCAGGAAGATGACACACAGCCTCCAACGCTGTCCACCTGCTGTAAGAACTCACAAGGCAAAGTGATTGGCACAGAGGATCCTGAGTGAAGAAGTCCTCATACTGCCAGCAGGTACCATGTTCCTACTGTACATGCTTCCTGGTCTAAACGGGGCCATGGGGAAAAGGTAAGATACTGCTTGTTCTTCTGTGCAAAGCCCAGTAGCAGGAATCATGTTTCCATTCTTCCTGTCAAGGGTGACATGAAGATTTGCATTTACCTTTATGATCAAGTTATAACTCTAGATCTGATCCTAATATGCTCACTGTGTCACTGGTGGTTTCCTAAGTGGCTGACAGGCAAGCTGTCATCTCTACTCAGTTCAGAGCCACAGAGCAAGTGACGAAGAGATCAGAGGATGCTTCAAGATTAGAGTTTGACGTGATACTCACAGATGAAGTGAGGCAGGCTGACAGGTATCTAGCTGGATAATAACAGAATGGGATCAGAACTCTGGTCTCCAGCTAGAATCCCACAGTCCAGAGCTTTTCCCATAGTCTCTACTAGGCCAGACCTTGCCTCAGATCCCAAATGCCCTAGAAGGACTGGAGCCTGAGATAAGAGGAAGACAAAGGCTGATACAGAGGAAAATCCAGATGCTCATCAGCTGCGTTCACATAACCTTTTTTAGGTTCTCTATGGAATTTAAATTTTGGAATTTAGATCTTGGATGAGATTACCAGGAAGTTTCTTTACAAAGAAAAATCAAGGAAATCCCTGTTTCTGGACCTAAGAGTATGTAGCAATGCTGAGGGAAATTAAGCTTATCAGCAAATCTTTATTTGAAAGCATGCCCAAATGGTTATACAGGTTAGGGGGCAAAACTCAGGAGCAGCCAGGACATTTCTTAGAAAAAAGCATTCAATAACATGCTGGTTTGCATTTTTTTTTCAATCCTAACCCAGATTTATATTTCAAAACTATACAGTACAAAGTAGTAAAACTCTACTCCAGGGGCAAGCCAATGGGTTAACTTTCACTTTGTACAGAGCATGTCTCAAGGACAGATTTCTCTGAGCAACCCTACATATGAAGGTGGCTGAACTGAAGAACCCAGCTGATCTAGTACTGATTTAAATATCAAAATGGCAGAGAACAAAGGTATGAAGAATTGCCGGGTGTTTCCTACAAATCAAGTTTAAGAGAGCAACCCCAGATCTTGAGAAGAAATGTTAATTACAAAATGTGTTTTGGCAAGGGAACTCCAATTTTTCCAGGAACAAAAAATAGGAAAAGGCATTCTTACAAGCCAAACAAAATAAACTTGCCATATCAAGCTTAAAGTATGAAGTCAAGTGTAACCAAACAGCTACATTTAGCTATAAAAAAGAAATCCCCACCCTGCAGAGAGTCAGGAAAAATGATGCCCCAAATGCAATACAATACGGGACACAACTGGAAGAGTGCAGTGGTCTCGCACTGGTTCAGCGATGTTTCTGACTGTCAAGAATTAAAAGGAAGAAATTCATGAAATATTAAGCTTAAAATTAGAAATCACAGATAAAATAATCTTCACTGTTAAAGAATCCTAACCACTCTGCTAAAGTCAGTTCTGACAGTATTCTGCATATATTAACATCACAATTTAAACACTAATTGTTAACATAATCCTCCTTCAAACCACTACCATGTTACATATTCCACAACAGTCCCCCAAGCCCCTTTGGGAAATTCACAGTTCCACCCCTCCTCTTAAGACCTGCCTTCCCGAAGCACACACAGCTTTGACTTTTCTCACCCACCTCCAGCAAGCTCTTGAAAAACCTGACATACTAACTTACCCAGAAAAACAATTTATAAGACTTAAATACTGGGTTGCCCAAAAAGTCTGTCTAGATTTTTCAGTAAAATAAAAGACACATTTTTCATTTGCCCCAATAATGTTATTGACTTGGATATTCTGAGTATGTCAGCTATCTCCCATGTGGTAGAATGTTGACCATTCTTAATTAATGTCTCAAACCGATCACTATCAACTTCAAATGGTCTATAGGATTGTGGATCACTGTCCAGCCAAACAAACTTTTTGGCCAACTCAATATTTACTTGGTTGGATGCATTTAGGTGTCATTTTAGCAGAGACCACCTCCCTTACTGAAAACAATGAAGCCCCACTGCAGTATTTCTATCCCCAAGAAAAGACTCGCAAATATGAGTTTACTAGTGACTACACTATACACAGGGGCCAACAGCTCTGCAGCAAGGAAGGTCAGCATTTGGTCAACTGCTGAGACGGGCACAAAGAAGGGTGAAATAACAGTTCATTCTACACAACCTTACAATTTAGTCAGTGAGACCAGATGAAGTACTTGATATCAACAGATATCAAGTAGCATAAGACCAGTTAGTGAATAATAAAGAACAAAATAGTTTATCAAATCGTATGTGATAGAGAACAGTAAGAGTACTTAAAACAAAATAAAGCAAAGCATTGGACTCTTTCCCAGAGTCACAAATTTATGCTGTTTTTTAAATTTTCCTGGCAAGACTATTCAATAAATTCAGTTAAATTGAACAAATATGCATTG